AGATTTTCTTTATGCACCAAGAGCTTGTAACACTCCAAAGAGAAAGGAAAAATTGAAATCGTATCATATGACCCCTTTAAATGAACAACACATCAAATTATTTATCATATCCATTCATCTCAGATAAGTGTCATTTATCAAAATTTGAGACTGACTAATATGATAATTTATGATTTTATATCATCACATCAATACTACCTGTATGGCTACACCCCTCGTTTCATCCAAAGACTTGTTGTGAGCGAACTCAAATGCCAGAGCTGTGTGCCAATCAAGCGCTGCCATGGCAACACAGCAGGAGTCAGGACCGGCAATGAAGGAGCCATAGCAACCAGATATGCGCATCTCTGCAGAAACACAGCGACTGAGCTGTTAATATACCCACCCGCTATTTACAAATAACATCTGGCACTCATGCATCGAATTCAAGTTACAAACAAGTGACTATCCATTCAAGTACTCAAAAGATTTGATACTTGACAGATTGTTTTATATAGACTATGACCTATATATGTATAGTAGGTGTCTAATTTGATTACATTTAAAAAAATGAATTCAATGCTCAACTACAGTCTTAACGTTTAGTTGGTAATGACCTTCTTAGTTCCTCTCTGTCTTGGAATCTGGGTTTCTAGATTCTTTTATACGCCCCTTTGCTAACCTTTACTGACAAAAACTCTGAGCTGAACTTTGAAGGCCATCTGCATATCCACACATCTGCTCAGATCAGCTCGGAAGCATTCCTGTTCCATCTCCGACTGCAAAGAAAAGTACATGGAAAGATTTAGTATGAAATGACACAGTTTGTTCACACTACATTAAATATGGTTGTCACTCTTCTTTTGAGTGCTTAATCCAGTTCTCTTCACACAGCAGGAAGCGGACAGAATAAAGTGTGTATCTGTGTCCTAGTTTAGTTATTTATAGAAGTGACAACCACATTCTGAAAACGTCACTCCTGAAAAATTCACTCTGATTACAATAAATCCACATAGCGTACAGACCCAAATTAAATGACTAGTTGCTAATGCTGTAACGTCTCTTTCTTTAAGACATTGACAGTTTGTTACTAGAAAGTCAATGAAAAACCTAAAAATTATGACTGGTTTTGCTTATGAGGAAAAAGAAAAACATAAACAAAGATAGAAATAAAAGAATATGTGACAATCGCATTACACAAAACAAGACATCTGACAGGTCGCTAGTAGTCAACATGAGAGTATTATACTGAACATGAGAGCCCTATGAAATCCGTTTTATTTTTCCCAAATTCCGTTTTAATATTTTCCAAATTCCATTTTTTCCGTTTAAATTTTTCTGGATTCCGTTTTTTTCCCGGTTTAATTTTTCTAGACTCTGTTTAAATGGTTAAATGAAAAAAATGAATCAAAAAGCATGTGTAATTAATTGAAATCATGAAATACATAATTTAACAATAACTTATTAAACGTTTAACAAAAATTATTTTTTAAGGCCCTATGAAATACTTTTTATTTTTTTTCTCAAATTCAGTTTTATTTTGACCAAATTCTGTTTTCCATTCTGTATTCCATTTTCATTAAATTTTAATAATCAAAAGTATCCCTAATTAATTAATTTTATTAAAAAATATTATTTTATTTATTTATTTTTCAGAAATACTTGCATTTGAATGCATTTAAATTCTGGTCAATTTTCCTGGTAAATATTCCTTAAAAAATAATGTTTTAATTATAATTTTATTATTAGTAGTAGCACTATCATTAAATTAAGTAATATATTTCTGTTACAGTTTCTTCAAGTTAAACTGAACTTTTATTTTGACGGGTTGCTGTGAAGACCTTTGGTTTCTGTTAGTAAATGATATGACAATAATTTTTTCTCAAAAGAAATGCTAAAATGCTCATAAAGTGACTCTCAGAGCAGTTCTAGAGATTCTGTTAATGTGTTCATGTACTCATATCGAGGCGGCAGAGGTTGGAAAAACATACTTCAGTATGTAGTAAATGAAACCGCATGTCTATGCCAGTCCTTCACACAAACACGCAGAGCAAGCAGGATTCATATTTAAATAGTCTTTTGCGGCTTTATATTCACAGACCTTAGTCTATATTGCGTTTTGATTTAAGTGCACTGACTTACTTTTTATTTATTCATCCAAAATTTGGCAAATTCCATGACATTCAGTGTTACACAGTAAATTCCATTTTTATGACAATTCCGTCCGCGTTTAGGGCCCTAAATATACTACACACTACATACAGTACAGTATAAAAATATATAATAAAAGAATGTCACCATGTCAACACAGCCGGAGTCAGGACTGGCGATGAAGGAGCCATAGCAACCAGATAAAGAGCTTGATTCTACACATTTCCAGTAAATCTGAATCTTTGTTATCTGGTTACCATTCATACCGGTTATCATGGTCATGTTATCATTTAACAGACATTTATCATCCATTACTACAGTGCTCTAATTGCAGGGACGGTCCTCTTGGAGCAGGCAAGTGGCTTGCTCAGGGGGACTATGATAGAGCAGGAAGGCAACCTTTGTAACACTTCCAGTTAATAGGATGTCAACAAAAGCCTTATATTAGCAGCAGAGATTTTTAACAAGTACCAACCATTATGACATTCCAGGCTAATTCTCGATGCAGCCATAGGGTTGTTTTGAATTTTAAAATTTGTGCAGCAGCTTTAAATTAATTGGGCTCTAAGGTTTTCTTCGTCTGATATAATAGGACATGAGGGTGTACCTGATGTCGACTGAGAACAGATGGCATTTATTACCTGTAGACTGTTATAGCAGATGACCCCACCCCCTGTGAGAAAGGGGATGTGCCCTGGCCAAGCCCCGCCTACTTCATGATGGGAGAACACAAAAATGTGCACGCTGCAGCCTTGATTGACACATTCTTTAGCCAATGAGATCGAAGAATCTGGTCCTTGGAAGATGGACTAATATGAAACCAAGAGGAAGCAGATAAATAAAACACTTTTAGACAATTAACGTCATGGACAATATTGTGGAAAAATTGCACGTTCTTTAATTCACCTTCACTTTGCTAGAGCTGAAGAAACCAGAGGAGCTTTTCTGATTTGAGCCTTCAGAAACAGGCGAGGAATGAAAGATCAATAATTTGCCTGGAGACGCTGCATCCTTTTGAAATGAGACGCAAGAGATTTATAAATCAACATTTGCAGCACATACACTGGATTTTTCAGCAAGGGCATGTGCATGTTTAAGACTCATATTAAGGCTCTTGCCTGAAGAATCTTCAGCCCTGCAGAAACAGAAAGCTCTTGTGAGCCGGATCCATCCGACTCAGGGTTGAAAAGTGAAATTTCCTGTAGAACTCTGCCCAGGAAGAAAGGAATAGTTAACTATATTGTTAACTTTACTGTTAACTATATTGTTGACTATTTTGCTCTTGTTTCAATGATAATTATATTAGTAGAACAAATGCAGTTTCAAAACCTCTCAAGAATGTGTCTGCAGTCTTTCAGTGGCACCAGAAGGCCCTCCACCACAGGAAGTTCCAGCTCCTCACAGTCAGTGATGACCATCATGTGAGGACGGGACAGAGCTGGACTCAGGTTATACAGATGGATCCGGCTGTCATAGGTCATCAAACACACTCGAAGATCTGATCGGTCAGTTTCTTCAAGCCTAAAACAAAGAAACAACATTCACAAGCCATTTGAATTCCAGAATTGATTTCAAACATTAGGAATGGACATGATTGTGAAAATAATTTTAAACGTTAACATCCCTTACCCATTTAAAGCTTGCAGTTGAGAACAAATCTGCTTACAAATGTGGTCTAGCTGCCCCGTTCTCATTGCACTGGCAGATACATCTATCGCCAGCAGCAACACAGCAGCTTTACCCTGTTAAGTAGATCATAGTGGAGGTCAGAGCTATTCAACAATTTAGATAAAACTGGCATCAATATAAAAGCTGACTACTGTATGTACATTACTATTCAAAAGTTTGGAGTCCGTAAGATATTTAAAAAATATTTTTAAATAAGTCTCCTATGCTCACAGAGGCTGCACTTATTTAATTAAGAATTACAGTAAAACAGTAATAATGTAAAACGTTATTACAATTTAAAATAACTGCTTTCTCTTTTAATGTACGTTAAAATGAAATTATTATTGTGATCAAAGCTAAATTTTCAGCATCATTCCTCCAGTCGTCAGAGTCACACAATCCTTCAGAAATCATTCTAATATGCTGATTTGATGCACATGAAACATTTATTATTATTATCAGTGTTGAAAACGGTTGTGCTGCTTAATATTTTTGTGGAAACCTTGATACTTTCTTTTCTGGATTAACGAATACAAAGTTCAAAACAACTGCATTTATGTGAAATAGAAATCTTTTGTAATAATATTCTAAATGTTTTACTATCACTTTTCAATTGAATGTGTCATTGCCAAATAAATAAATCCTTACTGACCTCAAAATTTTGAATGGTAGTGTATATTTAAAAAAAAAAAATGAAACAGCTTTGAACTAGCTGTTTCTATTAACCCTAAATTCAATTTTTATTAAATACTGATGTTTAATCTAATCTAATACAGTTACATATAGTATAAAACAAGAGAAAAATAAAGTTCAAAACAAATCCATGCCATTCCCGACCGTCTGTTTTTCCAGGATCTCATATGAGCCAAGACTGAGCTCAGGTTTTTTTTCGCAGTCGACACGGCGACCCTGATTAGTGGGCTGATAGGACTGCCATGGCACTATGAGAAAAATACATACTTGAGCAAAGATGGAAGGACATATGTGCACAGCTTTAACCGAAAATTGAGAATGACTGTAGGCCAAGCAAGACTTACCTTCATTGAGTTTGTCGCAGAAAGGGCAGTAGAATCTTTGCCCGCAGTCCTGCCAGCTCATAGCAGGGCTCATGAAGGCCCCGCAGTGTGCACAGCCCTTAACACAATCTCCCGCCTCACAAACTGGCACATCACGCTGTGGAAAACATTCACATAGCATGTTTACAAGAGCAGGCCACAGTAAAACACTGAAGAGTATGTGAAGGTGATTGGGATTTCTCAAGATGACAGAATGACTCACAAATAACATCCTAGCAAATAAGACAAATAAAAGTGACATTTT